ACAACATGGCATGCACTTGCCATGGTTGTAAGTCCTTTAAGTTGAATGGAACTAGGGTTGGCAGCCATTGCGCTAACTCCGGGACCATACCCTTTAACAGTCATAAAACGGCTTACACCTCAAGCAACCGGTGGGTGTGTTGGGGGGGGAGGGATGGAGCCGGAAGGGGGGGGTGCAGCTTGGGGGCTTGCGCGATCAGAGGGTCGGCTGTTCTGAAAAGGTAGCTGCGGCATGGGGTGAGACACTCAAGTCCTTCTGACGGTTTGATGAGAGGTTTGGGCACTGGACCTGGTTTGGGTTAGGGGCGAGGGGCTGTCTCTTTACTTGGTGGCTCTCAGCCATCCCCTTAGCTTCTTAGCCTTTTAGTGCTTAGTGGTAGTTTCCATTTAACCGAGCAGGGGATCTGAGGGCAGCCAAGTCTAGACTTGATACTCTTTGGGAAGACCAATTGTCAGTGGTACACACAACAGCCGACAAGAGCCAAATGAGAATGGGGAGGGGGGATTCCTGCAAGACTACTTTCACAACTTGGGCCTGAGGGCTCTGAGAGCCGTGGATTCATCAACCCCGAACTCTTCACTGTTCTTGGTATGCATTTCTGTTTTGTGTTTTTTTCCCCGAGGCAAATAGAGTTTGAGCATGTGCAGCATGCGAGGTGCTACCATGTTCTGCCCGTTTCCAAGCCGCGCGAGCCCTTGGGCCAGGCTTCAACACGGCCCTCGCCGCGGGCGGCGAGGCCGGCAGGTGGCGTGAAGCTGAGCAGCTCTCAGCGCAGCTTCGATGGAGAGGCCTCCAAGGTGCGCGGGAACCAAGTGGCGATGGGTCAAAATTCAACCAGACGGCTTGCAGGTTTTAGTCCTTGGTTCCACGAAGCAAATCAACCCATTTTGGGGGATTGTTTTTTTTAAACCTACTGCCAAGTGGTCTAGTACTTCTTGGAGAGCCTTTGAGCATTCCTTGGCACCGCTGTGGATTCCGGGTCAGCATGATTCAAAAGCTATGCGCAGCTCATGGGAGTTCGCCAGGGTTCAGATGAGAAAGCAGCCCACAAGAAACAACATGCACAGATCCCAAGGCGATTTTTTTTTGCATGGTTGTTCCCTTTCGTTGTTTTTTTTTGGTGGTTCCCTTTGAGCCATCAACACGTGTGTGTTTCTTTTGCCTTTGGTCGGCTCCGTTCAGAAGGACCAAGGTTTCGACGCGCAGGTGACCTGGTCACGGCCAACAGCGCTGCCTTTGCCTGCGAGAAAGTCGGCGGCTTCGGCCAAAAGCAGGTTGAACAAAGGGGTGGCAACACGTCATCCAAAGCCCAGCCCAGTGGTACCCGGGTACCCTGTTTCATGTTTTTCTTTGGTTTTTGGAGTTTCCTTGTTTTTGGTTTTTGGTTCCCCTTTAAAGTTGAACAAAGGGGGTGGGAAACACGTCATCCAAAGCCCAGTGTGCTCAGGGTGATTGGCCACGTGGTTGCCCAAAACCAAGACAGCTGAAATTCCAAGAGTTTAGTGGGGGGTTTCGTTTAACCCACCAACAGTTAAACCTTTAGCAGGAGATCTGAGATCTGAGGGCCCAGTGTCCAAAGAGCCTCGAGGCAGGTAAGTTGGCCCAGTTGGTAGCTCAGTCCGGGTCCAAGGGCGGGCGGCCCCGTGTTCCAACCCAAAACTTTTGATTGCTTAAGACTTTTGTTTTAAGTTTCCCCTTGTTGGTTTTACAGGGAATCGATTTCACTACTGTTTTTTCCCCCCAACTTGGTTTTAAAGGGAATCGATTTCACTACTGGAAATATGTTTTTCCCCACTTGGTTTTGAAGGGAATCAATTTCACTACTGGACTTTTTTTCCAGGGGGCCGAAGCAAATGGAAGAACACCTGCCATGCAGAATCCACGGCATGCTATAAAAACCAAAGAAAATAGAATAGGGTTGTGAGGGGTGTTACGAAACTGAGTCATGCTCAGATAATATGTTGTATTCAAGATGGTTTCCCACCCCAAACCACCCCGAGAGGCCCCAGCCATTTGGCGGGTCTCTCTGGCCCTTGTGGCTTGCCTCATAGAGACGCCCCCCAAAACCGTGCTTGGGTTTTTCTTTTGGATAAAAAGCAAGATAGAAACCAGGTACCCTCAAAAACCAGACGCCCAGAGCCACCATAGAACCCCCCCAGATTCTGATGGCTTCAGCGCCGACGGCTCGAGGCCAATGGCGGCAGGCAGTTCATCGGCACGGCGGGGACACCATCGGCTTCAACTCGGCCATCAGCGCCTGCCAAAAGGCGAAGATCCACCGCCCGTGCGGCGGTTTTTCGGTTGCCGCAAAAGGTTGGGGCATGTTGAGGGGTTCTCAACCCCGTCAGTTGGTTTGTTTGTTTGTTTGGTTTGTTTGTTTGTTTGGTTGATGGGTTGATGGGTTGGGGTTGGTTGGGTGGCTGGTTGGCTGGCTGGCTGGTTGTTTCATTTTGTGGTTGTTTGTTTCAACCCGAGTTCGTAGATCAATCTGGGCTTCTTTTTGGGGGTGCTAATTTTGGTGGTAGAGGGATGCCAGCTCATCCATCCCGCCCCATGCTCTCTTTTCCTTTTTGACTTGCCCAGTGGATCCACTCTTGTTCCTTATGTGCGGTTGGGGCGCAACCAACCCAAAATCAAGCAGTGAAACAAGGGCAAGGCTGACTTTGTTCACGTGCTTCCGCCTGGTTGCAAGCGATTCTCGCTTTGCTTCTCTTTTAATTGGTGTGTGTGTGTGGATTCTGTGAACATCAGCCACCATGACAAGGTTGCATTTAAACATCTTTTGTTTGTTCACCTACAGGGGCGCAGCACCAATGTGTCGTTGTCTTGCTTTTTTTGTTTCTCAGGGCACCTTCTTGTGTTTCCACCTCTTCCCCCTGTTCACCGTTGTTTGCTGTTTTCCCTTATGTTTCTTTCTTTTGTCCTTTTGCCCCCTTTCCCCCTTACAAGCTCGCCGTATGCCACAATCTAGTATGTGTTCCACATTTTCCCAAGTTCTTGGCATGTGTTTCAATAGGGGGTCTAAACAAAGTGTAGCAATACAGCTACCCAGATGGCCTGGGAGTTAGCCAGATGTAGCGCAGGTAACCCATTGAACAGGGACTTGCAAGGGTGGGTTATAGCATGTCATAGCCACGGTTACCAACCACTTCTCTAAGTTCCAGCTCCAAGTACCAATCCCCACCCCCAAAGACCTGCCGTGGGTCATTCTATTTGGCCATCCTTTGCTCGGAACTCCAGATCTTGGTGCCAAGGATCTGAATCCTTGAGCAGGCGCTTCTGGACGATCTCCTTGTTCGGGAACCTCTTTTTTTTCCAGGGGACTTGCGGGGCAAACGGTAAACGGCGGGGGTTTGCGTCCAGGGCGCCCAGTGGCGGCGCGCCTGGCAGCTCTTCGGCGCCGTGGCCGCGCCTAGCGTCGTCACCTGCGGCGCCGCGGCCAACTTCGCGGCCGCGGAGGCGTCTGCCTGGCGCTGGGCGCTGCGTCCGGCGGGGCGACGCTGGGCTTGGGACGAGGGGGGGTGGGGGTTTCTGGGGGTGGGTGGGGGGTGGGGGGGGGTGGTGGGTGTTGGGGTGTTTCTGGGGCTGTCAAAGTCAGAAAATGTGGGTGTTTCCCTTTAACCCACCACTTGGGGAGACTTGGATCATGGTAAAGCAATGAGGCCAGTTCGATGGGGGGGGGGGTGGGTGGGGGAAGTGGGGGGGGGTATTCGGCAGGGCTGGGTGTGGTGGGTGTTGGGGGGGGGTTCCCTTGGAACTTGCCTTTAGGAGCTTTTGGGTGGGAACATCAAAGAGGCAAACAGAGGCGTCATTTCGTTTTTAGTTTTAAGGCGTTGTTGACCTGTTACCTTCAAGAGTCGTTGAACTACACCTGAAGGGGGATGGGCTATTGGCCTATTCATTCACCTCAGCCAGTTTCCCAGCAGAGCACGTATGAGGAGTGCAGGTGATTTCCCCCAAAAAGGGGCAAGCTGGCAAACAACTGGGCTGCTCCAAGTCTCTAAAAGCTGATCAAACCTCGGTAGGAAATTGGTCAAACAGCATCCTTTGCTCTTGTGCTGGGGTCTTTGGAGAACCCCTGATGGATACCAGCCAAAGCTCTACTGTCCCCCAGCTAGATACTCTTTTACCCTTTTTTGGGGGAGGGTTTCCCATTCTAACCTCTCTACTGGAGGACCTAGTCTACAACCTTTTGAAGCTTGACTTGAACCCACAGAAGTCGCATCTCTTTAGAGTCACTCCCTGAGTTCCTGGACTTATGGTTACTTTTGGGTCCGAACCATGTGGGTGGTAAAGTCAAAACAGCTTTTTTTTGGGGGGCCAACCTGCGGGGGAAACGAGTACCCACCCATGTGGTCAAGAATAGTTTTTGTTCTTCTTTTTTTCCCCCCTTGTTGGCTTTAAAGGGACTCTATCACTGGACATATTTTCTCATCTGTCCCAAGGCGCCGAACCAAGTGGAAGTTACCATCCTTCTAGGGGTTGATTCTCCCTTCTTTTCAACCATCCTTCTTTTCGGAAACCCGGACCGTTTTTCCCGGGTGTCTGGGGCGGTTTTCTAGAAAGAAGGATCCCCGGAAAGAACGGGGGGAGGTCGCCCTGGACTCCTTTCACCGGGAACGCCTTAAGGTCACCTGAGCCTACGGCCCGGCCTCATCACCCTGAGCGCCGCCATCGCCGCGTGCGCGGCCACCGCAGCTTTGTGGGCGCGGGCGGCGCGGCTCTTTGCGCAGCTCAGGGAGGTCCCGCGACTCGGTGCCGGACACTCGGAGCGGGGGGCCCAGGTGTCAGATAGGGCCCCATTAGGGTTTTTGGACCGAGCGGACCCCACGCAAAAAGAACAAAAACGGTACGGTCCGAAGAAGACGCGCCCAATAGTTGAGTTCCCTTTTTTGGTGGTTTTGAACAGCTTTTGGCCCATTTGAGGTGGGTTTCCCTAGCAGGAGTGATGCTTTCTGGGGAAATGTAGGGACGCCTGCTTGGGCCCAGGATTCATTCAAACAGCCAAGTCATACTCATTGGGTGTGTGTGTGTGTGTTCCCCTCAAAAGTGCTGCCCCAAAGGCAATCCTCAATCCCGACCTTTAGTTGCAACCGATGTCCCCTTGAGGGTTTCCCGAATGTGGAACTCGGATTGGCAACACGAACCATGAACAGCCCAGCTTAGTGAGACATACCTGGCGGGACCCAGCTACCATTTGAAGGGTTCAGGATTTGCCAAGCTGGCTTAGTTTCTGGGATGGGGAATTTGAGGGGACCCCTTTTGACCTGCTCGGTCTTTCAGATGTGCGACACAGGTTTTGGGAGGGTAGGGGGTGAATTGTCGGCTTCTGGCTGGCCACCTAGCCCTTGCCCTTCCCCCGCAAAGTGTCCAGTAGCCATTGGACAACTGAGCGAAGCATCCATCTGAACAACACACCCTTGACAGTTTGGCATGTCTTTCTTGAGGGTACCCTTTTGAGCTTGAATTGAAGGGCAATCAAAGGGTAAACACCAGTCCAGTTGTGTTTTGGAGAATTCGCACTAAGCACTGAGTATCTAACCCCAGATTAATAAACCCCCTGTTTCATATGGGGGTTCTTGTCCCTGGTTTTGGTGCTTGGATTCGGACCACTTGAGGGGAACACTGGAAAGCCCCTATCAATAAACAGGGGTTGATAAATCGGAGGTCAAGGCAACGAAAAAGGTGCCCACTGATGTTGATGTCCCTGAATATCAGTGGGCACCTTCTTCGTTGCCTTGCTGAGTGAAGACCCTCTGGACGCAACGGCCGAGAGAGAGAGAGAGAGAAATCGGGGGCCAACACGTGGAGTCCCCTGATGCCGACAACTAGGTCCCCCAGTAGTGCCCTTTTTACCCTTTTTTGGGGCAGGGTTCCCCTACTAAAATAGACTACCGAAAAAATGGGGTACCCTTATTCCAACCTCTCTACTGGAGGACCTAGTAAAATGGCCATGGTTCAAAACTAATGGTACCATGTTGGGATAGGTGCACCACCCATTTTAGAACCTATTTTAGTCGTTGGATTGGGAAATTCACCGGGGGTACGATTTGGGTTTTGACTCCTGGCCAGATTTTGGGGTCACCCCGTGGATGTTCCTGATACCAAACCAAACCCAGTAGAATATGGGGTCAACACGTGGATCCCCCCTGACTCCAACACCGCCAGAAACCCAAGGAAAACGGCTGGTTTTCGAAAAGAACGATGGTTGAAAAGAATGGGGAAGCAACCCCTAAGAATATGTTCTTTTTCAATACCAGGCGTGTCTTTGGAGGGGCCTAAAACGGCTTTGGTTTTCCTGGTGGTTTCGCTTGAAAACAAAGAAGGGTAGCCTCAGAAAACAACCCCTAGACTGATGCCAACAAACAAGCCCGCTGAGAAGAAAGCTGAAGGCTGGCGCCAGACGAAGAGGCCTTCAACGCCCTGCGGGGCGCCAAGTGCAAGCCCTGGCGCCTCTCTTCGCAGCGCCTTGGAGGGGATTGGTGCTGCATCTTTGTGTATAATTATTCCCTCCTCCTCCCACCCACCTCCTCCTCTCACCCCCTTCCTCTTTCCTCCTCCTCCCACCCCTCCTCCTCCCACCCCCCTCCTCCTCCCACCCCCCTCCTCCTTCCTCCTCCTCCCACCCCCCTCCTCCCACCCCCTCCTCCTCCCACCCCCCTCTCCTCCTCCCACCCCCCTCCCGCAAGGGCAAGGCGAAAGGCAAAAGCAAGACTAAGGACGTGGTTTGCCATAATTGTGGCAGACCTGGACTTATGCAAGAGACTGCTACCAGCACAAATCTGTGAAGAGGATTCCGCAAGGTGAGGTCGAGTCCTGCGCATCTGCTCTTCTTAAATGCCTATTTTAAAGCCACCTTTTGCTTTACCGTGCATTCTACCTTTAACAGCTTTTCTAAACTTTGTTTTCTTTGGTCCAATCTCACCCAGCCAGTGGACACACTTTATCACTCTTTTCCTTGGTGGCTCTCCCTTTATTTTAGTGGTGGCGCAAAAGAAAGTACGCTTGTTTTTGGGCTGGTCACTAGCCAAGTGAGGGATTGGTCTGGAAAGTTTGGCAATTTTTTGGGGGAGTCCGACCAAAATGGTCGGTGCCCTGTCAATGCTGTGTTTTTTTTTGGGGGGAGAATGGTGGGCTTCATGTTGTTTTCGTTGGTTCTTCTCTGGAAATGGTTGGTTTCCTGTCAGTCTCGTGGTTTTCTGTTGAAAAGTGAGTTTCCTGTAGGTGTGCTGCACGTTTTTCTTTGGGACCCGCCACATCAAAAACCTGACCAAGAGACTGGGTCAGTGCACGGCGGTCAGAAGGGCAACAGGCTTGGGAGGTGCGAAGGTTCCAGGCGCTGCAAAACCCCATGGCCTTCCCAATCCCATCGAAGTGTTGGAATTCGCCGAGAAGCCGCACGAGTCTGCCGATTTTCTAGCGAGCTCACTGGTTCGGGGGTATAACGATAAAGGTCCGTTACTTGAAGATCACTTAAATCGGCTTTTGGAATTAGAGTAACATTTGCAGATGAATGCCCGGCTTTGCAAGGCATGGTGTCACAGAATCTGGAGCGTGGCCGTGAGTCATTCGTTTCTTTTTGGAAGAACTTTCCTGTTTGACTTTCTTCGAAGCTTGGGGAAGTCCCCAACTGGTTTGGGAACACCAAAAAAGTGATGAAAGCACGTGCAGAGACTTGGGGACGTGTGGTACCTATATCGGGTCATTCAGTGGAGTAGAAAACGCGAAGAGCTCAGGACATCAACACTTGGCCCAGTGGCCTACCGAAAGCCAAGTCCTGTTTTCGGTAGGGACTCTCTCCGAAGCTTTGGCTCAGTTACCCTCCCATCCATATGGAATCTGGCTGGGTGGTTTGGACAAATTTTCTGCTACGGACCATTTCTTTGGACTCGAGGGTAGGTCTGCTCTAAAGGTTGGGCTGCGGGCTTAAGCAAACCCAGTTTTGATCCATTCAAGGTTCCACGCGCAACCAGCTTTGACTTGTGGGAAGTGCGTTGCTGCTGGAGGTTGCAGCTGAGGTTTTTCATCACCATGCTGGATGCACGCATCCCCATGGATGCCATTGGCTGCAATGTGGCCATTGCCGCTTGCCGCCTGGCGGAACTTAATCGGCAGTTTGATTTTGGCATATCAGGGGAACGGAACAACACATCGGTGTTTGTAGGCTTTTCGGTGAAAACCGGGGCAGGAAAGCACACGAAAGTGATATTTGCAAGAGGGGACAACAAGGGGTTTTGGGCTCCAAGGTAGTCTCAAGCTTTGATTCGAAGGAAGCAACTATTTTGTTAACGCTCGGGCCCGAGCAGCTCTTTTCGGCTCACTGGCATCGGCCTCTTCCGACTCGGCTTTGGGTTGAGGTTCGTAGGTTTACCTTTTGCCCCCCCTGGAGGAAACAACAGGATTCCGATTCCTCCCTGACCTCTTCGCTTCTATCCAAGGCGAAAAGGGCGGTCGCCCCAGCGATATTCTGACCGCGACTGGGCCCATGAGAGAGAGCGATGCCTTTCAGCTCTGCCCGAGTTGCTCATCGCTGGGTGGCTTCAGCCATTGCAACCAGAAGCCCTGAGCGTAGTTCTTGCTGTGCGACCGAGCAGGTATCGATCTCCCAATGTATGTGCAGAATGTTTTTCTTAGCTCAAGCGCACTGCCGGCGAATTCAGAGTTGATGCCAGTTTTTGGACTCTGCCCCGGCCCACTACATTCAACAACCACTTGACAATTTGCCGACAATTGTTGATTCTCAGGATGAAAACACGATGGACTCTCTTTTTCCCAGCTCCCTATCCAGCACCGAGTGTATTGTAAGGTAAGCATGCTTTTGACGAGCCTGAAGGACTAGTGCGCTAGGGCTGAGTCCTTGCGTGACTTGTCCATCGAAGTTCGCCCGAAGCCCGGGTGAGCGAGCGCGAGAGCCCGATTCGGGCTCAAAGCGGGCAGACGTCGACACAGGGCCCAAATTATCCGGGCCTGAAATGAAACGACCAAATCTCCTGGTAGAGTATTGGTCAGCGTTTCAACTGTTCTATCTTGGCTTCTTTTCCGGCCATATTAATCAACCCCGGTGTATTAATATGCGGGTGTTCCCCTCAAGTGGTTTGATTCCCCACCAAACCCGGGTTGACACCCCGTTAGTAAACTGGGGCTGATTCATATGGGGTCAACAATGGATTTGGGAGCAACCCACGGCGAGGAACTTGGCCTGTGGAAATGCCATGGGTGTTTTCCCTACCAAGCGCAAATCAGGTAACCCCCAAATGTATGTTTTAGTTGGGTGGTTGGGGCATTCGAAGCTCCGGGTCTTGTTGAGGGTGCATGAGAAACCACCCCTAACCTCCAAGCCACCAATCCAAACCAACGGTTCGAGGGAGGCTGAACAAAGGTTAATTCTTGGGCAAGGGATGGATGCTCACGAAATACGCTTGGAGGTTGATGTCACTTTCACCCACCTTTTAAAGGGGTGCGGGTTGTCTTCATCGCCCTAACCACTCACCGATTCCACTCAACCATTAGCATTCATAGATTGTTTGTTGAATGAATTCATTGACTCATGCATCATTTCATGTCATTTCAATTCATTTTATTTCCTGTTCATGCCATTTCATTTCATGACCGTTCATTGCGTTAATTTCATGTATTGTATTTCTTGCATTCCTTCCTTTCTTCATTCTTTCTTTCATTCATCCATCCATTCATCCATCCATTCATCCATCCATCCATCCATCCATCCATCCATCCACCCATCCATTGTTTCTCGTTTTCTTTTCTTTTTTATGATTTGTGTTTGTATATTTCTTTCGTTCTTTCTTTCCTTGTTCTTTGTTTATTTATGTGATTTATGTATTGATTGATTCATTTGTTTCTTATTTATTGGTGTTTTGTATGTGCATTTATGTGTTTAATCCGTTCATTATTTCTTTCGTTCATTGTTTGTTTGTTCATTTTGTTTGTTTGTTCATTTTGTTTGTTTGTTCATTTTGTTTGTTTGTTCATTTTGTTTGTTTGTTCATTTTGTTTGTTTGTTCATTTTGTTTGTTTGTTTGTTTGTTTGCTTGTTGGCTTGTTTGCTTGTTTGCTTGTTTGCTTGTTTGTTTGTTTGTTTGCTGGTTGGCTGGTTGGCTGGTTGGCTGGCTGGTTGGTTTGGTTGGTTGGTTGGTTGGTAGGTTGGTAGGTTGGTAGGTTGGTAGGTTGGTAGGTTGGTTGCTATGATTGGTTGGTTGGTTGGTTTGCTTTGTTTGGTTTGTTTGGATTGTTTGGATTGAGTCGGGTCGGGTCGGGTCGGTCCGGGTTGGTTGGTTGGCTTGCTTGATTCATGTTGGTCTTGCCCATTTGTTCATATGGCTATATGCATTTTAATGGGGAACATGCTGAAAAGTGGGTGGTGGTTCCCTGAATCCCCAGCTAAATGAGGTCCACCAAAGGGTCCCTCAGCAAAACTCAGACCCATTTCTCTCTTTGTGGGTCCCCGAGTTTGGGACTTCCTTTTATGTGGGGCCAAGGACTCCTTTGATTGCGGGGGGTCAGGGATGGTCATGTCCAAAGCCGTCAGCCGGGTGTTTCGACCACTGTGACGAGGAGGCCTTTTTTGTTTCAGGGGGCAGGAAGCCAGCTTCGCAAAGGACAACGTGCCCCAGTCCCCATGTCTTCTTGCCGGTTCTCAGCAGTAAATGAGGGAACGACTCCTATAGCCTATAAACCATCTATGGTTTCCCTTTCAGGGAATCCCAAAACGGTTGATTCCCAAATCCCGGACTCTTCATTCCCTACCCGAGGCCTGAGGGGGCAGAAGGGGCCCACCGTGGAGGACCGGGACGAGCTGCGGAACAGGAACGCGGGGTTGAGGAAGGCCATCGCCGACCGCCTGCCACTTGCCAAGGGCAACTGACGGGGGGTGGGGGCGGGCGGTGGGCTGCCGGTTTCCCTTTGGGGCGAAGTGGGTGGCTCAGCAACAGTCTCTTGGTAATTGGGCCGGGCTGCGTGGTTTGGCATGAAGTGTGGGTGGAATATCTATTGCTAGTATAATGTCTGGTTGGTGGGCATGGGTGGGTGGGTTGGTTGGTTTGGTTTGGTTTGGTTTGGTGTGGTTAATTGTTTGGTTGTTGGGTTGGCGGCTGGTCAAATACTGTGCTGTTTGCAGAGTGCCTAATTTTCAGGGCATCTTGTCCTGGCAACGTTCTCCAACCAGAAATCACACGCGCACGCAAGCAGGGCATAGCAGTGGGTTGAAGGCTTAATCGTTGAAACATCACGATGTACTGACATGGCTACTCTGTACTCTCGCCGCAGGTGTACACAGAGGTATAGCTAGGCAGGGACGTGCAGCTGCATTCAGGTATGTATACAGCTGATTTGCATATCTAGACCCATCTACATATAGAAGCACATGTTGTTTACATATGAATGACTACTTGGTGGCTCCCAGCCACCACCTTAGCTTTTTGGCCTTTTAGTGTTTAGTGGTTGGATTTCCATTTCACCCACTAAACGTTCGTCACATTTAGACGGGGGATCTGAAAACGGACAGCGCAGATGTCCAGGTCACGCTCCCCAGGTTCGCATGGCCGAACTCTAAGGCGAGCCACGGGCGAGGAGCGCGAGCTGCAGGCCGGAGCTTTCGAGCTCGCGGGGCGGAATTTGGTTTTTCGGGGTCCCTTAAATCATGGGGGCGGGGGGGGGGGGCCGTCCCCTCCCTCCCCCCCAGCCCCCGTGATTAAAGGATGCCACACAGATGGGCCGGTTAAACAATCACCTAAATGCCAGCTACCCCAATATAGGTTTGGGAAGCAAAGAAATGTGTGGAATCCCCTGGCGACATTTTCTTCATGCCAAGGTCAAAAATATGTCCGAGCAGGGTTTCGGCACTAGTTGAACGTATGTCATAGGCAGACTGACTTAACTAATATGTTCAACCTTTGCCCTTTTTGTTTTCCTTCATTTTCCTCTCAGCTGGCAAAAGTTAACTTTTTCGGGAGGGAGGGGGTTAGGGGAGTCGGAGCCCAGCTTTTTACGTGGCTTGGCAAGTGAACCAAAAGGGGTCTACAATTACAATTTTTGGAATGGTTCCTATATCCATCCTTCAAGACCCTTAAGCCAGACGGTCGTGGTGGCCCTTGCTGTAGTGGCCACTCTCTACGGAATAAAGATTGCGGATCCTTGTCCGCATGAGACCAGAAGCATGGAGCAAATATGATCTTACGCAAACAAGGCTTCGTAAGGCACTTCAGGAAAGAACACCTACACTGCTCCCAGGTAGTGCCCAGGCCACCCAACACTCCGGCCAGAAAAGTTTTGACCTTGGGTAGAAAAGCTAAACAAGCCAGTCTCTTGCCCTGAGCCTTCACAAAACGCAAAGACGACCTCAAGGGTGGAAAATTGGTCACCAGTTGTCTTTGGTTTGCCAGGGGCACATGGGCAAGAAGCTCCAACTCCGCAACCGGAAGTGTGGGAGCAGGAACCAGCAAAGCTGAGCCACACGAAAGAACAGAATCCTTCAGCCCCTATGCACGAGCAATTCAGTAGTTTCTTCACATGTTACGCCAATCCCAAAAGGGCAACTCAACAGAATGACGGGCTGAATCCACCAGCAAATCGTTCCAAGCTTAAACCAATCCCAGAAGGGTAACTCAAGGAAATGACGGGCCGCCCGCGTTTTTTAGACCTGGCCCGTGGCTTGCCACGTCTCTTTAGGAGATGCTCGAGGAGCTGTCGCCGGAGCCGTCGCCGGAGGAGGCAAGAGGGGTTTGGAAGGCCAGAGGGTTTTTGTTCGGGTTCCATGGCTTGCTGGTGCTTAGTACTGTGGATGGACATCCATTTCGCACCGTTCAGAACCCCTGGTCTCTGAAATTCGATTCCCCAACGTAAATACCAACATTCAGAATGGTTTCAGCCATGGTTCAAAGTGGTGCGAATTGGATTTCGTCCATTCACAGTAGGGAATGACCTCGCGGGTGTTGGGAATGAACATAGGGATTCCCTTGAAGGGAATCAGAGGGGATGGTTATAGCTGAGAAGCATCAAGATGAAAACCGTGGGGGTGGATACCGCGATTGTTGGCCTAAGGATTTATCATCATCTAATGTGGGTCAACTATTATGTTCATGGGGGTTGAACCCTGAGCGTGTAAAAACAACCCAGAAGACAACTAAGATTTCGGCACAAGTACAATTGTCCCCAATTGAGTTGCTGGACTGTACTCATGACGACCCTTTGAGAGGAGCGAAAACCAGACTGCGGTTTGTAACAAATTGACTTAGGTGAGTAGGGCCCTACTTTCCCTTTGACAACCAGAACTGGTTTCTTTCCCAGATCATTCCAGCCCTGCTACAAATTGTTTGGATTCGGTCCTGATGAGGGTAAGAGATCCCACCTGTCCTGGGCGGTCATTCCCCTTCTATTTACTTGGTGTATGTTGCTTGGATGTTAGGACTTTAACTTTTTGCCAACTAGTGGGTTTTACACTAAACCACTAAAAATTAAACTTTTAGCAGGGGAGCAGAAAGCAACCCAGTATGAACTTGGTTCATGAATCCGGGCTTCCCTTACCCTTAACCAAGCCACAACCCCCAATGGATCCCTGGAAACCATCTCACCCGCGAAGACGCGCACTGTT